GGGGCCCTAGTATGCCAGATTGTCTGAAATAGTGATTTATAATTGCAGATAGTCCAGCAATAATTTCAGATAACACAGCCTTGGCTGACACTTTTTGGATGTTTTCCTTATGATAAATTTCTCTTTTTACTTTTTTCATTAAATTTATCTGTTCTGGTGTCTTTGTTTCTTCTTCCAGCAGTCTGAAAATCTTTGTGCAACCCTGATCCATGAGCTATCCTTCCATCTCTTTAAAAACACAGTAATGGAGTAAGAATTCATAAGTGTATGCCTCAGAATACTCTCAGATATCTGGGACCTGGGAGTCTCAAGATCAAGGCCACGCAGAGCTGGATAAAACAAAGCTAGAATCAGTAATCATAAAAAATACTCCAGTACCCAAGTGCACCTGAGCCTCTTTGCACATCCAGGGAAGGCTGAAAGTATTTTCTAACCTATGAAATCAGTTTCTTACAAAGATAAAAGGAAATTATTGTTGGTCTTTTCACTTTATGACCTACCTCTTTGTAATAAGAATTGAGGCAAATTTGTCATCAAATGCTCTTTTCAGAGAGCTAGGATGTCATAATGGAGTGGGCCCAGCCCCTGGAGTTAGACATAAATGAAGATGAATGCAAATTCCCTCGCTGATCAGCTCTATGCCTTCTGGCAGTTACTTAATTGCTCTGACCCTTGCTCTCTTTTGCTATAAAAAGGGGTTATTGGCCAGGTGAGGTGGCTCACGCCTGCAATCCCAGCATATTGGGAGGCCAAGGCAGGCAGATCACCTCAGGTCAGGAGTTCAAGACCAGCCTGGTCAACATGGTGAAACCCCATCTCTAGTAAAAATTAAAAAAATAGCCAGGCATGGTAGCACATGCCTGTAATCTCAACTACTCAGCAGACTGAGGCAGGAGAATCACTCAAACCCAGGAGGTGGAGGTTGTGGTGAGCCAAGATGGCGCCATTGCACTCTAGCTTAGGCGATCCAGTGAGAGACTATCTCAGAAAAAAAAAATGAAAAAAGAAAGATATGGGGTTATTGATGATACCGGCATTTTGGGCATGTTATATGGATTAGGAATAATCTATTAAAAACACATAACATAGTGTCTGGTACAAAGTAGACATTCAACAAATTACACTTATTATTATTTCAAAGTAAATTAGTTTAAACATTTAGAAATCGATTTATGCTTCCAGGTGACTACATGAACCTGAGAGATTTTTTACTTTTTTGCCCCATAGAAATTTTCTGTAATTGTATACACTGGCTGTGACCCCAGGTATGAATCTAGAAAAATATATTTAAAGTAATCTTATTCCAAATTAAAAATAAATTCTAATAGTTTGCCTCAAAAAGAGAAAGAATCAAGCTTCCCATTAAGACAAATTCAGTAACCACAAAGGCATACAGAGCAAGACAAAAGAAGATAATACTATTCTCTCCACAAGTGTGTGACTCATTTTCAACTCAAAGATGGTGTGCAGGAAACAAATGCTCATTTACCCACTAGGCTGCTCAGAGCTGCAGGGATACAGACAACACCCCACTCATTTTTTGCATATTCAGGCAAAATGTTATGTCCTTCCTCACTGGATTCAGTCCCATTTTTGCAGGTGTAACTTTTATAAGCAAGACTGAAAAGAAAAAAAAAAATGTGTCATTTGGAAGTGCATTCAAAGCCCATTAAGATGACACATTCACTTGTATTTCTCTTCAACCTTCAGGCCGCAGGACAGCCTCCCAACGGTGCTAAAGAATCAAGGGCAGAAGGCCAAAATCATCCAAAAACAAATATGATACTTCAAAAATGCCTGAAAAGGACAGGTGTGCTTTTCAAGAAGCCTTTCCCTCAGCGGCTTAAGTTTCTATGTGCTGCCCAGATGTAGCTGATAAAACAAGGCTTTCTGACTTTGCAGCCTGATAGATATAATTTTCACACCGTATATGGAAAGATAATGCACCCAATGTATTGGATTGTGTTATCAAGCAGTGTGTTCTCTTATTTCACTAACAAATGTGCAGACAAACACACATTGTGGCAAATGCAAGGAAATCGCTAGCCTGTGTTTGAAACTTAAACCTCCCCATTCTTTAGAGTATAGCAGTATTCAGGCAATAGGGATGCATGGTACCAGTCTTACCCTTTCTCTACAGACTCCAGAACACGACAATAGCTGATATGTTTCAGTGCATGAATAATTCTGATCCCAGCTAGACAATTTCTGTGAAGGAATTGTCCTTATATTAGTTATCTCATAAAAATATGTATATTTTATTATAAAACAAGAATATTCAAATGGATATTCATAGTTTGGCCCCAAATCCTCCCCTTTCCTGTGTCTTATGCAAAGTAGAGGTATATATATATATATATATATATATATATATATATATAATATATTATATATAATCTATATATTATATATAATATATAGATAATAAATAGATTATATATAATATATAGATAATATATAGATTATATATAATATATAGATTAATATATAGATTATATATAATCTATAGATTATATATAGATTAATATATAGATTATATATAATATATAGATTATATATAAATTATATATAATCTATATATATTAATTAATTAATTTTTTGAGACAAAGTCGTGCCCTTTCCCCCCAGGCTGGAGTGCAATGGCACGATCTCGGCTAACTACAACCTCTGCCTCCTGGGTTCAAGCAGTTCTCCTGCCTCAGCCTCCCGAGTAGCTGGGATTACAGGCACCTGCCACCATGCCTGGCTAAGTTTTGTATTTTTAGTAGAGATGGGGTTTCACCATGTTGGCCAGGCTGGTCTTGAACTCCTGACCTCGTGATTCACCCACCTCGGCCTCCCAAAGTGCTGGGATTACAGGTGTGAGCCACCATACCCAGCCAAGGTCAATAAATATTTATCAAATGAATGTTAAAAGCATGAAAGAATGTGTTGTTTGGATTTTGATGCCTTTCTAGTGAGTTTTTCATCTGTTTTTCATTTAATCATAGCTCATTGTTTTGAGATAAGAAAATTTAGACATAAAGTTATGATAAGCCACCAAAATTATAAAAAGCAGACTCAGGAACTGAACTGTATTATTTACCTGTCCCTTCATGCAATTTCTTTCTACTTTTTACAGAAAAATACCCCTTCCTGCTGGTTCCACCCCTGAAATATTTATAGGCTGATGCCCTCTTTAGTCATCGCTGAGCTAAGCTGCAATCTTTTAATCATTTCTCAGAAGTCATTTTCTCCATCAGCTTAATCATTTCATTTACTTCTCACTCCACCCAATGTGTTTACATCCCTTAGACATGAGATTCCAGAACTGAAACACAGCCCTTCAAGGAACAAGAGAGAGGCCAGGCAACGTCAAGGCCCTTGATAATAGAACGTGTCCTCACATGTGACTCCATACATGTTTTGCTGTGGGACTCTTGAATTCCATCTCACCTTAGAGGCAAGATGCAATCTTTATCGCAGCTCCAGGGATAATGCTATGTCACACAAAAATGTGCACTGCTTTTGATTTCAGGCACACCTGGGTTCAAATCTTGGCTTCCCAATTTACTACCTATATAACCTAAGGCAAGTTATTAAGCATCTCTAAATCTTGGTTTGTCAGAGATAGGTTGGGAGGAATACTAGCTACATCATAGGAGTCTTGTGAGAACTAAATCTCTTAATATATGTAAATGGCCTGTATATACTATACCTAGCACACATTATATACAGCACTCTTACTAACCTCTAAATCCAGTGTAAAATCAATTTCTCTCTCTCACCCCACTGCATTCAATATACCAGGAATTTTGTCCACCTTTCCTTCATTTTTTCTGAATGTATCCATGTCTTCCCACTGATATGACTCACAGTTAGATCAGCTCCCACATGATCAGACCCACCATCATTTCTTACCAGGACCATTGCCATAGCTTCCTCATTCCCCTGCTTTCATTCTTGCCCTATATAACCCATTCTCTACACTGTAGTGATGTCATCTTTTTAAAATATTAATTGGATCAGTCCACTTGCCAGCATAAAACATGGCATAGGCTTCCCATTACACATAAAACAAATCCAAAATTCTTGCCATGGACTGCAGGACCTCAAATGATCTTTCCCTGCTTGTATCTCTGAGGTTGTAATTCTCTCCTCTTCTATCGCTTACTCTATTTTTAGCTACATAGGGCTTTTGGATCTTGAGCTCACTAAGCTTATTCTGCTCCCAGAAAGTTTGCCCTTGTCCTTTCCTAAGACTTAGATGTTCCTTCCAGAGACTTTATATGATTGGTTCCTTCTCATCATTTCAGTCTAAGATGAGAGGTCACCTCCTCCAAGAGGCCTCCCTTGGTCACCAAATCCCATGTTGTCTCTCCCTTATAACCTAACACTGTCACTTTATAGCACATTACTTTGTCTTATTTTCTTTATATCACTTGTCACTATCTGAAATTATCATCTTTATTTACTTGTTTACTTCCAGAATGTCTGTCTCTCTCAACAGAATGTCAGCCCTATGAAAGAAGGAGCTTTGTCTACTTTGCATATCTCAATATTGCCTCCTAAAACAGTGCCTGGCATGAAGTAGGCACTCAAATATTTGACAAATGGATAAATTGATGTTTTTAAGCCTATTCTGGAAGAACTGGGCTCTATCATACTTTTCATAAGTATGAAAAGTATTTGACAGACAAGATAATGAAATCTTAAGGTATTCTCACATAAATTTGTTATCTCAGCCCTAAATTTGGCATAACCAGGAAATTCTGAAGCATTATAAAATGGTTCAGAACACAAAGCATGTTTTAATCCTAGCTTTGCTACTTCTTGTGTGACCTTAGATAAGTCAGCTGATGTATTAAAACTGGTTTTCTTGTCTAAAAATATAAGTATAATAATGCATACAATATTAGAGGGTTTTATGAGGATTAAAGGAGCTAAGTCTATAGCACAGTTCCTGGAACATGTGTGCAGTCAATAAATGGTGTTTATTATTATTATGGCTGTTTTTACAGTAATTAATTCTGGCACCATACTTTACAAAGAGCTTTGACAAATTGGAGCCCATCCAGAGGAGAACATACAATCCTGTGAAGGGTCTGGAAACTACAACTTGTAAGGAATGATGCAAAGAGGTGAGGATGCTTACCTTGTAAAAGACATATTTTAAGAGGAACATGATAGCTTTTTAAAAAACACTGAAAAGAACTGTCTGGTAGAAAAGGGATTTGATTTATTCAATGTTACTCTGGAATATACATTTAAAGCTAAAGAGTAAAAGTTAAATCTTAAACTCCTTATAATCTAATAACCAAACTTTCCCAAACCAAAATAGGATTGAATTCTACTTATAATAGTAAAAACTTATGTCATGTTTGTATAAATTTTTATTAGGGAAATTATATCATATATGAAGCCCTTTACAATTATCATTGTATTAGTCTGTTTTAACGCTGCTGATAAAGACATACCCAAGACTGTGCAATTTACAAAGGAAAGAGGTTTAATGGAACTCCCAGTTCCACATGACTGAGGAAGCCTCACAATCATGGCAGAAGGTAAAAGGCATGTCTCACACGGCGGCAAACAAGAGAAGAGGGCTTGTGCAGAATAACTCCCCTTTTTAAAACCATCATATCTTGTGAGGCTTATTCACTATCATGAGAACAGCACAGGAAAGACCTGCCCCCATGATTCAATTACCTACCACTGGGTTCCTCCCACGAGATGAGATTTGGGAGGGACACAGCCAAACCATATCAACCATATTAAGACTTTGTATCAATATGAAAAGTATGTGTAGGATGTCAACTGCAAAAAAGCAGACTATAAAATATATGCATAGGCAGACTATAAAATATAGGCACTCTATAGAGAGAAATGGAAAGAAAGAGAGAGAGAACATAAGTACAAACACATGCAAATAAAATGTGTTGCTTCAAGGGGTGGTGAGTTTCCTGTCCCTCCAAAGGTTAAAGGAGAGGCCAGACAATCTCTTAGAAGAAATAGCATGTGAGAAGTGATATCACAGAGAAAGCATTGGGCAGGGTGAACACTGAAAAGATTTCAAAGGTCCATGGGTCTATGATCTGAGGAAATATATTATTGAATTGTGGACACAAAATTGTGCTTTTTAAAATAGCGTAGAAGACATTACGCCTCTCAAATATTTTCATTTCCTCCCAATTTAAACAGGCAAAAAAAAAAAAAATAGGACGTCAAGAGACCCAAGTTCTGGGCTCCACGGTCAACTGGGGCATCAAGACCCACAAAGTGGATGTTTCTGGCCATTATTTCACTTCTGCTCCAGCAAAAGCCTGTCAACCTCTTGCAACCTCATTTTCTGGATCCTCTCCCCAAAAGAAGGAAGTTGCATGCTTTCTGTTTCTAAAAATCTGTGATTCATCTTGATTATTTTGTTTCATAAATCTCAGCTTGACCAGGAATTAGAAGCCACCTGAACTTTGCAAATAAGGAATTTCCAAGAACACTAGCAATGGAATAACTGTAGGAGAATTTTGCTCCCCAAATCAGGGAGAGTCCTTTTTCCACATAAGGTTCAAAATGTAATAAATGATTTCTTTTGTAATTCAATGGGTGAAAAGTTTAGAACTCTAAGAGACAAGCATCCATGAGTAGGGTTTTTCTATAAAGTCTCTTTGTTTTATATGCAAGATGATATTAAGTCATCACCTGCATTGCTTTCTTGGCTTTTGATGATAAAAGAGATCCCCTCCATTGTTGTTAAACTTCCTGGCAAGTTTTCAGACTATCTTCATCCTAGAAGGGCCAATAGACAGAAGACTGCAATTTTCAAGCATTGAATACATGATTGGATCCTTCCTTGATGTCAACTTATCTCCCATTTTATATCTCAGATGATTTCCAGCGGTGGCAAAAACATGGACTTTCCTTTCCCACTTAGGGAACTATGAGGTGTGCTTGTAGTAGGCAATAGACATATTACAAAACAGCAAGCCCATAGAACTTCTTGAGACACTATGAATACTGTAGAACAGTCTTATTCTCTTTGAATTCTTGGTTATAATTCATACAGATTACATTGTGGGGACAGAACAAAGTAAGCCTTGCTGTGCCATGCTCTACTTGTGAAGAATTCTCTGACTCCTATATTTCAGATGAAGGAATCATTGTAACATAACAATGGTCAGGAAGTCCCCTGCTCCCATGCCCAGAATTGACCTACAGTCCTCAATCCAATAATCTCAAGCCCAGATGATTACCACTCACATGGAAGGTAAGCTTTTTTTCTTTCAGAAAACAGAATTTTTTTATTGTTATTATTTTTATAATTAAGGTGAAAGTCACATGACAAAAATTAATCATTATCAAGTGAACAAGTCAGATCAATTTATTACATTCACATGTTGTATAATCATGACCTCTATCTAGTTGCAAAACATTTTCATCACCTTGAAATAAAACCTCTGCACCAACCTAATACAAGCGCCAACAGAAGACAGGATACTTTTTTCAATTTTTTTCTTGCTGTATCTCTAACATCTATATCTCTAATGACACTAGAAGATGCTCAATAATTGTTTGAAGACACTGAATAATCAAATAAGTGATTTAAATCCTAGTATTATAGTTCAAGCAGCATTTTCAAATAATGTATATAAAATGAGAGTGTTAAGATGTGGGGGAAAGGAAAGTAAAATGGAAGGTGTCAACTATATCAACTCTTGAATGACTACCATTGTATGCAGGCACTGTGCCAGATGTCTCTTGCAGGTTACGTCTTTTTTTTTTTTTTTTTTTTTTTTTTTTTGAGACAGAGTCTCACTCTGTTGCCAGGCGCTAGGCTGGAGTGCAGTGGCACAATCTCGGCTCACTGCAACCTCCGCCTCCTGGGTTCAAGCAATTCTCCTGCCTCAGCCTCCCGAGTAGCTGGGACTACAGGTGCACGCCACCGCGCCCAGCTAGTTTTTGTATTTTTAGTAGAGATGGCGTTTCACCATGTTGGCCAGGATGGTCTCGATCTCTTGACCTCGTGATCCGCCCGCCTCGGCCTCCCAAAGTGCTGGGATTACAGGCTTGAGCCACCGCACCCGGCCCACGTCTTTTTTTTTTTTGAGACGGAGTTTCGCTCTTGTTACCCAGGCTGGAGTGCAATGGCGCGATCTTGGCTCACCGCAACCTCCGCCTCCTGAGTTCAGGCAATTCTCCTGCCTCAGCCTCCTGAGTAGCTGGGATTACAGGCACGCGTCACCATGCCCAGCTAATGTTTTATATTTTTAGTAGAGACAGGGTTTCACCATGTTGACCAGGATGGTCTTGATCTCTTGACCTCATGATCCACCCGCCTGGGCCTCCCAGAGTGCTGGGATTACAGGCTTGAGCCACCGCGGCTTACCTCTTCTAATCCTAAACATTATAAGACAAATGGTTCAGCTCTAGTAGGTTCTTTGAAACTTATCACCTATTATCTATTATCTTTTCATTCAAGCTATAGTATTATTTGCTAGCAAGAGACATAGACTTTAGAAATAAATTTGCTGGCCAGGCGCAGTGGCTCACGCCTGTAATCCCAGCACTTTAGCAAGCCGAGGCGGATGGATCATTTAAGGTCAGAAGTTTGAGACCAGCCTGGCCAACACAGTGAAATCTGGTCTCTACTAAAAATACACACACACACACACACACACACACACACACACACACACACACAAGCTGAGCATGGTGGTGCATGCCTGTAATCCCAGCTACTCAGAAGGCCAGGCATGAGAACTGCTTGAACCCAGGAGGTGGAGGTGGCAGTGAGCCAAGATTTTGCCACTGGACTCCAGCCTGGGAGACAGAGTGAGACTCTGTCTCAAAAAAAAAAAAAAAAAAAAAAAAGAAAAGAAAAGAAAAGAAATTTGCTAATCTTGATGTTGTATGCTTTTACTCCTGGCTATAAGGAAAACAATTATGGCAGGTAAAGGCAAGCTGACCATATTTATCCCAAATAATTCAAATAAAATGTAATTCATGAAAAATGTAAAAAGTATTATGGATACATAATCAAAGGAAAAATTAACCTCAACATGTACAATCAAAGACCTTACTAGAAGCTACCACTTGATCTAGGCCTCAAATAATTGACATGCTTTGTAAACTCAGAAGTCTGATACAAGGTAAGTTACAGGATAGGAAAAGACAAAGAACTCTTAAAGAGCATGGTATGCAAGAAGCCTTTCCGTAAGTGGTAGGGAGCTTCTAAGGCAGCCCCCACTGATCTCCACCTCCTCATGTTTATATCGTTTAATCCTCTCCACTTGAATATGAGTAGGACCTATGACTTACTCCTAGCCAACAGAATATGGCAAAGGTAAGTGGGATGTCGCTTCCATGATTGTGACGCTTTTCTCTTTTTTTTTTTTTTTTTTTTTGAGACAGAGTCTCACTCTGTCGCCCAGGCTGGAGTGCAGTGGCACAATCTCAGATCACTGCAACCTCTGCCTATGAAGTGGGTTAGCATTGTCTTTTTTTTTTTTGCTTTGGGATGGAGTCTCAGTCTGTCACCCAGGCTGGAGTGTAGTGGCATAATCTCAGATCACTGCAAATTCTGCCTCCCTGGTTCAAGCAATTCTCCGGTCTCAGCTTCCCGAGTAACTGAGATTACAGGCACTTTCCCCTATGCCTGGCTAATTTTTTTTTTTTTTTTTGAGACGGAGTTTCGCTCTTGTTACCCAAGCTGGAGTGCAATGGCGCGATCTCGGCTCACCGCAACCTCCGCCTCCTGGGTTCAGGCAATTCTCCTGCCTCAGCTTCCTGAGTAGCTGGGATTACAGGCACGCACCACCATGCCCAGCTAATTTTTTGTAGCTTTAGTAGAGACGGGGTTTCACCATGTTGACCAGGATGGTCTCGATCTCTTGACCTTGTGATCCACCCACCTCGGCCTCCCAAAGTGCTGGGATTACATGCCTGGCTAATTTTTGTATTTTTAGTAGAGACTGGGGTTTCAGACTGGTCTCAAACTCCTGACCTCAGGTGATCTACTTGCCTTAGCCTCTCAAAGTGCTGAGATTATAGGCGTGAGCCCCTGTGCCCAGACAATGACTTCTGTCTTGCTAACAGACTCTCTATTGCCTTTTCAGCTTGTATGCTTTGATGAAAAAGCTGTGATTTTGGAAAAGCTCATGCGTCAAAAAACTGAGACAGTCTCTAACCAATAGACAGAAAGGAACTCAGGCCCTCGGTCTAACAGCCTTTCACACTCCAGTCTTCAGATGAGAACTCAGTTCTTGCCAGTACATTGATACACTGATTCCAGCCTTGCAAGGTACTCTAACTCAGACAGTCATGCCAGTATTCCTGACCCACAGAAATGGCAAGATAATAAATATGTGCTGTTTGAAGCTGCTAAATTTTGTCACAATATTTACAAAGCAAGAACTAATAAATTTAATTTAGGACTAATAATACACTTGCATTTTTCCCCCAAATCTTTTCCTAACAAATCTTTTAATTTGTAATTCAAGCATTCATTTAGTAAATATTTATTAAGAGTCTATTTTGTGCAATTATTGTTGCTATAGTTAATATAAAGGCTGGGAATATCAATCAGAGAAAGACCTCTCCTCAAGAAGACTAGTACACATAGGTAAGATGTGCTCACAAATAATTAAAACAAGGTAGAAGCTACATGCTAAGTCACAAAGAATAGCTGGAGATGATCTATCAAGAATATGTGGTGGAAGTGCATTGAATTGTGTCTTGAAAAGCAGGTTGGGCAAATAAAGATACATAATGGACTGTTTATAAGCAAATACATGGAGGTGAGAATTGTGGGGCATGTACAACAGATGATAAACAATTTCTGTGACTACAGGTAGGACACATTTAGGGTAAAGGATACATGCAGGTAGAGAGAACTGGAGAAGTTGGTTGGTCCATATCGGGAAGCTCCTTGAACTGTGGACAAAGGGCTAAGAGTTGGTGCTTTTTAAAACATTATCCAAACTCAATGCCAAAAATAATACAGTCCCAATTTCCTTTCTGAAACCTTCCTCATTCCATATCTAATAATTTTAAATACTGGGCCAAAGGTAAAAACTTCCTGTACTTTTACCATGTCTCTCAGTTCGTTCAAGATTACTTATCTATTGAGTCGCTCTGAAATGGCTCACTGCATTTTATAATGCAATTTGAAGACCCAAGTATCATTGAAATTGAGAAACTAAAGCCATCTACAAAGTATTGTATGCATTTTTACTATGTGTGGATTATTGTGGTGGCTCTCTGCATTTGTTTCCAGTACAGAAAAAATTCCTACATTTTTCCCCCCCAGAATGTCACTTGCTTGAAGTATCTTCATTTATTCATCATGGTTTGGAAGAAGGCCACATGGCTGCAAAATATGTATTTATGTCTAATTTGTACACAGCTTTCTGCTTGTAATTTCATTTAGGGTAGCTTAAGTGGCACTTGAACAGACAATTTTTACTTGTACATTTACCAGCATGAAATCACTTTGAAAATCCATTCAAGAACATCTTGAAATTAGTCTCCACTGGAGGCTTTCTCTACATAATCTCTGCTAGTTACAAAATTCTTCATAGAGATTCTCAAGGAGTTTCAAAAGCTTTCTGCTCACCCAGAAGGATATGGCTCATTTTATAGTCTTTCATATACTACTTTAGAGAAGCACACAAACTTACCATCTTCCTCGCCTAACCGAAAAAGTGTATTGAGATCCTCTGGACTTGTGCTTTCATAGTTATTTTAAACACACATAACCAGGCATCCCCCCAGACTTTCAAAGTATCAACAAATAGTGTTTTTGAGCTTGTCTCTCCCAATTTTGTACTCTGTACATCTAATTACACTTGTAGAATGCATAATCCTATGACACCAACTATCGAACCACATCACCATCCCCACATCTTCCCAGCTAAAATCTGCTTACAATTCAGCGTCACAATTTGATTTTTTTTTTTTTTTTATTGATGATACTTAAGCAGCTGGGAGAATTAATGGAGTTCAGCAGAGGCCACAGTCCTAACCATGGTTTGTAATTGATATCTGGGAGGCCGCAGCCTTTCCATTCTGCAAAAGCAGTCTAATTAGTGAGGCCTGCATGTCTGTGCAAGGCAGGAGGAGGAGGCGGTGGAGGAGGAAACCTGAGGTCCCCTGAGGGTTTGAAATTGCTCGGCTCTTTCCTAGCAGCACAGTTCCACAGAAGCAAGGGAGGCAGAGTGCTTCCAGAAGAGACAGATTGTTCAAACGTCTTTGCAACATGTATTGTTG